AATAAAATATAATAATATTTTATTGTGTTTTCAGTGAAGGTTTACACAGTTTAGGTTCTCATTCAATAATTTCTACACAAGTTGTTCAGTGACGTTGGTTACATTCTTCACAATGGGTGAACATTCTCATTATTTCCATTCTGGTTGTTCTGTTTCCATTAATCTAGTTTCCCTGCCCTTCTGCATTCTATTCCTTGTTTCAAAGCAATTGTTGACCTTTTGGTCTCATAGAGTTGATTTTTTAAAGTAGCACAGTACTCATGGGTGATATTCATTATTTTTTTAGCTAATTTGTTTTTTAGCTACCAGGTGACTTCAGGGGTTAGTTTCAGTTACCGTGGGTAAATTTTGTTCTTTATTGTATTTGAGATGGTTTGTGCAGTGTGAAACCCCATCAATACACGTGGTCATGCCTGGATGGCCCAATCAGAGCATGGGGTGGCACAGGTGAAAATGTGGGTCCCAGGTGTAAGGGATGACTGTCATGGGGCTGGGGGTAGTGGTGGTCACAGACAATGGCATGGAGGAAGTGGGGCCTGAGCAGATGGGCAGGGTTCAATGAGCAAAGAGGAAGGGAGAGGGCAGTCTGGGAGGGACGGCCTTCCCAAACGCCAGGTGGACAGAATGGAAGCGGATGGGTTTATGATGGAAGTGCAGGGAGAATATCAGGGAATGGTGAATCTGTGACTCTCAGGGCTGGGAGGGGCACTGAATGTAGTGCCCACTCAACGCTTAGGTACACTCTACAACATCCCCACCCAAAGCTTGTCCAGGCACTGCTTGCATACAATCAATGATGGGGAACTTACTACCGCTCAGGCAGCCTCTTTTGTCCTAGAATGGTCCTGACTGTTACAGAACCCTTCTCTTTCCAATTAGATTGCCTTCTGTTGAGCTAACTATTCACCTTTGTCTTTCCCCATGAGCTGCTGTGGCTAAGCCACCCTCCCTTGCCCTCCCTGTCCTGTGGGCTTGCAGTTTGGTCCCTGCTGGGTTTCATCTTCAACCTAGTTCATCCTGCACACCTGTGGCAATCTTTCTGGATCCTGACTCTTGCTTTCTTTTTGCCACTCCCTCTGTGCTCATGATCTCTGGCAGCTTGATGGGCACACTTCCCAAATGCAACAAGGCAGAGTCCTGGGGAAATCCACTTGAAACCTTCTCCCAGGCTTCCAGAAACCCAAGAAGTAGCTCCAGTACCAGTTGCCATTGAGTCGCCTCTGACTCATGGTGTGCCATGTATGTCAGAGCAGAACTGCTCCATAGGGTTTTCAATGGTTAATTTTTCAGAAGTAGATTGTCAGGCCTTTCTTCCAAGGTGCCTCTGGGTGGACTTGAACCGCCAGTGTTTTGGTTAGCAGCTGAGTGTGTTGACCGTTCTCACCACCCAGGGACTCTAGAATCGGCACACATCTACCTAAATCTCCTGGCCTCTGCACACCCCTCTCCATCTTGCCCACAAAAACATGACGGGAAGCCTGGGTCTCCTCTGTTTACCTGGGCTTCTAGGCCAGCTGTATAGTTCAAGACCAAAGCCAGTTGCTTTGGCTTGGGCTTGGTGGCCCCATGGTGGTTTCTTGTGATCACTCTTTTCTTTTCTCAGTGCTCACAAACCACCCACTCTCACTAATTTGACTCTGCCAAGCTGGGCTTCACAGGATGCGCCTGGATTCTCGCTGAGACCTGGAAAGTCCTTTGTCCCCAGCCTCCTGGCCCTTCCCCACCCAGGGGGGAGTCTCTAAGGGCCTGTGGGCCTCACTTCTCTCTTGTGATACCTTAGCCCTCTGGGACTTCTGGACCCCTTGGAGATATCTGCCACCCCTCCCTGGTTAATGAGCCTTCTCCTTGACAGGGAGGGAGGGATACAGAACTTGAGAGGTACTCCCCAAGCTCCTGACTCTCCTCCTGCCCCTCTCCTTGGCCCTCAGCGTTGTTTTAATTTTTGGCACCTCTATTCCCTTTAGGAGTCCATGGGTGGTGCAAATGGTTAAGCGCTTGACTACTAGCTGAAAGGCTGGTGGTTTGAACCCACCCAGAGGCATCTCAGAAGAAAGGCCTGGTGATCTACTGAAAAATAAGCCAGTGAAAACCCTATGGAGCACATTCTACTCTGTACACATGGAACCACCATGTGTTGGAATCTATTAGATGGCAACGAACAACAACTGTCCCCTTTGGGCCCTCTTGTCCTTGCTTGGCAACCGTGCTACTGCTGGGACGCCCCCTAGGCCCGGCAACTTCCTGTCCATCTCTTACAGTGTCTCTCTGCACTGGTGCCCACCCCCTGGGCTGGTCTGTGATGCCCAGGCCAGTGATTCTGAGCATTGTCTCTCCCCAGACTCCTGCTAGGTAACTAACCTCCTTTGCCTTCTCCAAACTGTCTGGAACCATCATCACACATCCACACAGGCCCAGTGTGTCTCCCGCTGGCTTCCACAGATACCGATGACCTGGCCACTTCTGCCAACCAAGTCATCCCACAGCCACAGGTCTGTTACCATTTATTGAGCCTCATATGACCCTAACATTCACGAAAACATTCGAGGCCTTCAACTATCTCCTGATCAGACCCCAGGGCCTTTGCACTTGCTGTTCTCTCTGCCTAGAACACTCTTTCTTCTCATCGTTTGGGTTTCAGCTCAAATGCCATCTCCTCAGACAGGCCTTCCCTGACCAAATAATATCCCTGTGCCTCTCCTCAGGGTCTCTACCTTATTACAATGGTATATTGTCTTCATCTGACTTATCACTATCTGAAATTACCTTACATATTTGTTTGCATGCTCCTTTATTGTATATCCTCTATTTGATGCTAAGCTCCAGGAGGGCAGGGATCTTGCCTGTCCCATTAAACACTGGCATCCAGTAGGTACTTAATAAATGTTGACTGAATAAGTCCCACATAAATAAATGCCCCAGCCTCAATTCTTACTCCTTTCTACTATCCTACCCTGCAGGCCCTTTGATCTTCTTGTGTTTCCAGAACATTCCTCACTTCTTCAGACCTCTGGGTCTTTGCACATAGTTGTCTCTGTGAGAAGTGCCTTTTTTCCATGTCTCTGTTCGGCGAGCTCCTACTCACCCTTTAAAACCCAGTTCAACACACCTCCTCTGGGTAGCTCTGTCCACTCTCCAGGGCTAAGTTTGTTGCTCCCTTCTAGGCTTTCTCACGACACCTCCCTCTAACCTCTCTGCTGGAATTAGCTATTTCCAGGTCTGCCCGCCACCTGGGGCTAGGTCTGAGTCATGAGAGGTCCCAGTGTTCAGCTTGGTGCTTGGCCCAGAGCGGCAGCTCGGAGGGTGTTTGCTGAGCATTGCTGGAAAGTAACTCGTTTCTGGGTTCTCTGTTGGGAGGGTGTCTCACCTGGCTGGTATCTCACCTCTGCAGGGTCTGGCCACCACCACTCTTGCAGCAGCCAGAGTGAGCTTTTAAAAATGCAAACACCACCAGCTCACTTTAAGACCTTGCTTAAGACACTCAGAATAATTTCCAAACTCCTGACTGTGGCCCAAGAGGTCCTACATCTGGCTCTTCTACCCTCTCCATTTTGCTCACAATCTTCCTGCTTCTGAGCCTTTGTCCTTGCTGTTCCCTCTTCCTGGTATGCTGTTCCTGCAATATTCACAAGGCCAGCTCCTTCTCATCCTCATACTTTGGCTCACATGTTCCGTCCCCCAAGAGGCCTTCCCCGACCTCTCCAGTCACCTGCAACCCACTGGCCTGTTCTATTTTCTTCAGACATCTATTACTCTGGAATTTTTGCATTGCCTCTCTCTTCTTACTATATTACAAGCTCCTCAGGGCTGGGACCTCATCTGCCTTCCTCACTGTTACCTCCCCAGCACTTGGCCCAGTGCCTGGCACATAGTAGGTATCACCTGACTGACTCTTTCTCGTCTCTGATGAAAACAGGCTTCAACTTTTGACTTTTCCATAAATCAAGTCACTAGAATGTTGTTCCATGCGGGCAGGGGTTCTTTATCGATATTTTCACCGTGGTATCCCTAGGGCCTAGAACAGTGCTGAGCACACGGTAAACACATTTGTTGGCGAAAAGGGAAGGAGTTCTCATTGGGGCTGAGATGGCCACAGATCCCAGAGCCAAGGACCAAAGTCTCTGGGCCCGTCCAGCCTCAGGGAGGGGAAACATAGGCGGCCCCCTCCTTCCGCAAAGGAGTGGCACTGGGAGTGAGCCCACCACCGGTCGGCTGCAGCTCACCTGACAGCAGCATGGGGTCCTTGTCCACAGACTTGCGCACCTGGTCAGACTCCCCAGTCAGGGAGCTTTCATCAATCTTGAGGTCATTGCCCTGGATGAAGAGGCCGTCAGCAGGGAGGAGGTCGCCTAGTGGGAGGAAGGGCGGGGAGTCAGCAGGGTCTAAGGTGGCTGGAAAGGCTAGAACTTTCCCTTAGAAGTGTGATTATGAGGGAAGGCTCACAGGTGGGGACCAGATGCCTAGAGTTCCCAGGGAGCAGGAACCAAGATGGCGCCCAACCCAGGCCAATAGGCAGCTAGAGACTGGGGACACTGTGAATAGTACAAGGTCTGGAGGGCTGAGGTTGGGTCCAGTAACAATCCCAGCTCAAGTGGGCATGCACATTACAGTTTATAAAGTGCTTCTCTTGGCCTAGCTTGGATTTAGGGTCCAGTTTTCTCAGTATTGAGAATCTTAAATTTCAAGATCCATTCTTCTCTAGTCTCTTCTGTGGTTTGGGGAAATTCTTATGGAAGGGGCCAGCCTGTCTTCGCTAGGCAGAGAAGACCCCAACACAGGCATATTATCGGGGGAAACTAAGACCCATAGGGCTAAGTGAGGAGGGCCACTACAATCTCCCCCACCCTACACCTTCTGCCTCTACTTACCCAGAATATATCTCCTCCAAACCTTTGGTGCCAGCCTGCCCACTTTCTCTATGGCAGTATCACAGGCCTGGAATGTTCGCTCATCCACTTCCACTCCCTCTACACTTTCTCTAGCCCAACCACCATCTGTCAACAGCCAAACAGGCATGAGAAGTGGATTTCATCTCATAAATCCATTCTGTGTACAGGTATCCCTCTCTTTTCGAAAGTTCGCTTTACACCACTTCGTTTTTATGAAAGATCTACCTTAGTACCTGTTTTTGCTAACTGAAAGAAATCCAAAGAGGATTTTTGCTTTTATGAAAAAAGGTAAAAACCGAAAATAGCATTCAGTGTTTGCTTTGCAGTGAGCCGTTCAAGAGGCAGCACGTACTCCTGAGCAGCAAGAGTGACGTCGCCAAGCTCCTTCCCCGGGAACTACACTCAGCATATCAGCTTTTACTATATGTTAGTGTTATTTTAGGTTTTATGTGTTATTTGATATGATTTGGTAGGTTATTTTTTGGGTCTGGGAATGCTCAAAAATTTTTCCCATAACAATGAATGGTAATTGTATCTTCACTTTACTTCATTTCAGCTTATGAAATGTTTCATAGGAATGCTCTACTTTTGGATAGTGGGGGAAACCTGTATTAGTGATCCTTGAAGTGTTGTGTTGAGACAGTTTTTGAAATTGTATATAGACTCTGAGCTGTTATTGATTAGTGATGTCTGCCATGGGTAGCGGTTTGGAGAGTGGTGGCACATATGCCATGTACTTGCCATTTCTGATTTAAATGGATTCTGGGATCCTACCTCCTCCAGGAAGCACCATCCTACCTCCCAAAGGATCTCAGAAGACATTCTGGCTGGGGATCAGCCCTCAGGGACCCACCCTGCTCCCTGGGACAGTTTCTCTGGTTCTTCTGGGCTCCTGGCTTGGCCCATATCTGCCTAGACTCCAGCTCTATAAACTGGCTCTGTGGCTACGACACTTACCATATTTGACCTGGGCGATGTCTCCAACCACGATCTCGGCCACAGGGATCTGGACCACCTGGTTGGCCCGGATCACAGTAAACTTCTGCTCCTGCTCAATACGGCTCTGCAGGCCCCGGAACTGTTTCTCTTTGCTCCAGTCATTGAAGGCCGTGACGAGGACCACGCAGATGACTGAGAGGAGGATGGCAGCCCCCTCGATCCAGCCCGCCTCTGCCTCCCCTTCATCCTCTGCCCCGCCCTGGGCCGTCGCGCATGCTGCAGAGAGCAGAAGGAAGCAGGCAGGATGGGGTTAGCTAGGCAAGGAGGGCTGGTGGGTCTGGATTTAAATCCCAGCTCTGCCAAGTAACATTGATAATCAGGAGGATAATGATCTGTTTATCCAGTGCTTCTACGTGTCAAAGCCCGTGCAAAGTGCTTTATGTGGATCATCTCATAAAGTACTCACTCTTCCCATTTCACGAATGTGGAAACCGAGGCTTCTTAGAGAGGTCAAGTGACTTACCCAAGCTAGGAAAGGCCAGTGGGGAGCTGAGATTTGAACCCAGGCAGTCTGGCTTCGAGCCCACCTCTTAGCCACTTCAGTTTCCTGTCTCTGTGCTAGCTGTGAGATTTTGGGTAAATGACTTCACCTTTCTGACCTCAGTGTTGTCATCTGTAAAGTGGGAAATAGTCTTTATCTCAGAGACTTACTGTGAAGGTTAAATTTAATGATGAAATAAGTCAGACGTAAAAGGACTAATACTGCATGATCCCACTTTTATGAACTATCTAGGAGAGACAAGTGCATAGAGACCAAAGTGTGTTCATGGTTACCAGCAGCTGGGGTAGGAGGGAATGGGAGTTATTGCTGAAGGGGCACTGAGTTTCTGTTTGGGGTGACATAAACCTTTCAGAAACAGTAGTGATGGTAGCACAACATGATGAGTGCAATTTACGCCACTGAATTGTACACTTAAAAGTGGTTAAGATGGCAAACTTTTTGTTATATCTATTTCACCACAATAAATAAAAAATTTTTTTAAATGAGGTTAGGTCTGTGGAGTTCCCAACACAGAACCACCAGAGAGGACAGGGCTTAATGCAAGAAGAGAACAAATCAGGTTGGAGCAGAACGAAGACAACCCATATTGCATGTGCTGCAGGGTCTGTTATGGGTTGACTTGTGTCTCCTAAAAGATACGTTGAAGTCCTCAACCCGGGTACCTGTGAGCAGGACTTTATTTGGAAATAGTGTCTTTGCAGATATTGTCAAGTTTAGATGAGATCCTTAGGGTGGGCCCTAATCTAATCTGATTGGTGTCCATACAAAGAAGAGGAGAACATACAGAGAGGGAGGGTGGCCATGTGAAGACAGAGACAGAGATTGGGGTGATGCATCTATAAGCAGTTAAACACTCAGCTGCTAACCAAAAGGTTGGCGGTTCAAACCTGCCCAGTGGCTCCGCAGGAAAAAGACCTGGCGATTTGTTCCTGTAAAGATTATAGCCTAGAAAACTCTAACGGCAGTTCTACTCTGTCACATGGGGTCACTATGAATTGGAACCAATTCCACGGCACCCAACAAGAGCAGCATCTATAAGCTGAGGAACACTGAGGCTCACTGGCAACAGCAGAAGCCAGGAGAACAGCATGGAGCAGATTCCCCCTGCAGTCTTCTGTGAGAGCATGGCCCTGCTAACACCTTGACTTTGGGCTTCTAGCCTCCAGAACTTCGAGACAATCAATTTCTGCTGTTCTAAGGCACCCAGTTTGTGGTACTTTGTTAGAGATGCCACAAGATACTAGCTGTTATGGTTTGAATTACGTCCCCCCAAAATGTGTGTATCAATTTGGCTGGGCCATGATTCCCAGAATTGTGTAGATGGCCTCCATTTTGTGATTGTAATTTATGTTAAAGAGGATTAGGGTGGGATTGTAATACCACCCATACCCAGGTCACATCCCTGATCCAATGTAAAGGGAGTTTCCCTAGGGTGTGGCCTGCGCCACCTTTTACCTTACAAGAGATAAAAGAAAAGGGAAGCAAGCAGAGAATTGGGAACCTCATACCACCAAGAAAACAGTGCCAGGAGCAGAGCGCATCCTTTGGACCTGAGGTTGCTGCCCAGAGAAGCTCCCAGACCAAGGGGAGATTGATGACACAGACCTTCCTCCAGAGCCGACAGAGAAAGCCTTCCCCTGGAGCTGACGCCCTGAATTTGGACTTGTAGCCTACTGGACTGTGAGAGAATAAATATCTCTTTGTTAAAGCCATCCACTTGTGGTATTCCTGTTAGAGCAGCACTAGATGACTAAGACACTAGCACAGGGTCTAAAATGCAGTTTGCAGAGGTCCTTTCCTCCAAGTCTCCAGGCAGCAGTGCTGGCAGAGCCACAGCACCGGACCCGCCCCTGGAGGAGCTGACTAGGAAGGGCGGATTCTAATGCTGCGTTGCCGTTGCCACCGTATGATCCCGAGTGAGTCATCGCCTGCCTGAGCTGCAGTGATCAGCAAAATCGGGATGACTGTGACTACCTCCTGGGGCCTGAGGAGAGGAAGGAGATGCTCTGGCCCGGTGCTCAGCACACAGGAGGCAGTGAGTCAGCCCTTATCGGACTGGAGCAGAGTGAGTGTGGCCCACTACACAGTGACAGCACCACCACTCCGAGTGGTGGGCCGCTTGTCTGACCTACAGCTGACCCTGCATCCCACCCCCTCTCACCACTGAGTCACCCAGCCTGGGCCCCCCAAACTGCTCGAGGCCTGCCAGGCCCACGGGGTGAGCAGAAAACACCAGACCCATCTGATCCGAAGGCTTCAGACTCAAAGGAAAGACCTGCCAAGCTGTGCCGAGTCCTGGAACCTTCTCAAACCCCTCCACACACACATTTTCCCTGCATCCCCACAAGGATCCAGAGAGCAAGCAGGGATTACTGCCATTTACAGATGAGGAAACTGAGGCCCAGAGAGGTGAGTGCTACAGCCAGGACTAGTTCGGACCCTTTTCTCCCCTGGGGGCATGGGGAACAGCAACATCCGTGGAAAGTGACCCTGAGCAGCATCTGCCCACCCACTCCTGGCGATCTCAGAGTGGTTTCCTTCCACCAGGGCTAGGCAGGGGGCTGGGCAATACCTGAGGCCTACTGTGTGCCAAGTGTCCACTTTAATCCTCAAGCTGGCTGGGAGAAGGGAAGTAGCTCAGAGAGGGGAAATGACTCACCCAAGGTCACACAGCAGAACTGGGGCTTGAATCCAGGCATCAGAACCTGCCCACTGCCCACTGCCCTGTGCCCAGTGGCCCTCTCTACCACATGCTGGCCTCACAAGGCAAAGTAGAAAATGTTTCTGTGGCTCACGGCCCAGCATCCAGAAGTCCAATTTCCAGAGACCCCAGAGATGTGTGAGCAGCCAGGGGTCAGAAGCAACATGATAAGAAGACCAAGCAGTACCGGGGAATGTTTTCCAGCTCTCGGCTCCTGGTCGAATCGGGCTCAGCGGGTGGCACCCACCGGATGAGCAGTGGGTGTTGCTGGAAAATTCCACATTTTAACTCTGAACCAGCCACTCCCTGAAGACCAGTAAATAACCACGTCATTGTGTGGGCTTCTTGAAGCCACCTTTCTCTTCCTTGGGAGTTTCAGACTCTTCCAGTAATTTTAAACTGTTTAACTGGACCATCCTTTGGTGGCTATAATAACAAGTGTGATAATGATAACTGGCATTGGGCCAGCAGGAGGCTGCCTACTGAGGGGCAGCCCTGAGTTCGAATTAATCCCAGCTGTGCCACTTAACCACTGTATGCCCATGAGATAGCGACGTAACAGCTGTGACTCAGTTTTCTCATCTGTAAAATGGGGTAATCACAACATTCCCCTCATGAGGTGGTTGAGAGGACTAAGGGACAGGCTTTATGCCAAACGTCCACTGCAGTGAGCACACAGCAAATGTTCGAGTAAAGCTTCTGCTTCATTTATTTTCCAGTGTATGGTGTGCATTACTGCATTCAAGTGTCACAGCGGGCCTACATGCAGCCTCGAGCCCCACATGGGGTTCCTAGTGGATTTTAGCAGCACGTGATGGTGGGAGCAGAGGAACTAGGAGACCGTGCCCCTGTACCACATATGAATGACACCAGTAAAGACCCTGAAGATTGGGCAACACAGGTCAACCCTGATAAACAGAAGTCCAGTATGGGGAAATGCAGTCTCTTAGGGCTCCAGGGGAGTGATTCGAGATACAGAGCCCATTGCTTCACTTTACAGGACTATTGCTATCCCCCGACCCCTTGCTACACGCCCTGCAAATGGGAAGGCTGTTGTTTTGCTGTTGTTTTGCTGTTGTGTGCTTTGTCAGTGGCTTCCATTAGTGTAGTTATTGGAACATTTAGGACACTTGGACATAGCCTAGGTCAATGGGAAGCCTTTGGCTCTGGAATTGGCAAGATCTGGCTCTGCAGTGTGGCCTTGGGCTAGTGAATTGGCCTCTCTGAGCCTCAGTTTGGATAGCTGCCAAGGGGGATGGCTTCAGGGACTTTGTGCACCTGGGGCCTAGCAAGGGCCTGGCACATGGTGGGTACACATGAACATCAGTCCTCTCCCCTGCTCATGAGCTCCTCTCTGCAGATTGGCTTCTAAAAGCCAGGGGCCCAGTGGCTGGATGGAATTCCCACCCTGCTCCCTCCTCTCCCAGCCCTGCCTGCTGCCCTTGCCGATTCCGTACCAAGCACTCACTTTGCCAACAAAAGCCGATTAAATTTCATCTCCCCCTGAGAAGTGTCTGATGGTCACGCGGAGCCCTGGGGTGGCAGAGAGCCGGCGTGAGGATCGCTGGACGTGCACACACCTGGAGCCGTCGACCTGCGGCTCCTCAGGAGCTGAGCCGGTTGGAGCGGGCCGTTTCATCACAAGACGCTCTTGGGCCTCAACCCCACAACCATCAAGGACCAGCAGGACATGTGGGCCCTCAAACGGTAGAGGTTATATTTATTAGTCAAAACGGGTCAAACCCCACATACATTCTGAGCACCTACTATGTGCCTGCCACTGTGCCGGGAACTCTGGCACCAGGGGGGCTGTCAGGGCGAGAGCTGGGAGGACTGGGTGTGCCAGTACCAGCCCTGCCCCAAATATGCTGAGTGACCTTGGACAAGTGTCTAAAGGTCTCTGAGCCAGGTTTCTTTCAAATATGAAGGAATGCTAGTGACAGACTCCCAGGCTGTAGAGTGCACTGCAGCACCCCAGCCCTTCCATGTTTGCTCGCTTGGAGGTAGTGTTAT